TAAATCTCGCTTGCCCGTCACCAATACAAAAGTAACCACTTTGAAAATGGAGCTATTCTTATGTTTGTTAATAGGTTCAGCTCTGGAGAGAAGTAACCAGTACAGTAGTTCTTTCTTGGCAGAGACAGTGGGGTTAAACATGCCCAAAGAACCTTCTCCAAAGCGTCGTCTTGTGCTCCAACAGCTTCCTTACTGACCTAAAACTTGTCTTGTTTTGTATGAAGTTAAAGTTAAAATCAAATTTAAAAAACAACCCTTTTAAATTCTCTTAGGCATCTTCCGCACAGCTGAATAAAATCCCACATTTTCTTCTTTCAATTGGAATATATGGCAGTGTGGACTCAGATAATCCACTTTAACGCAAATATTGAGGAATTTTTCTGCCTTGATATTCTGGGTTATATGGCTGTATGGAAGGGCCCTAAATAACTGCTTTGAGTCCCCCCAGGGTTTTTTTTTCTTGTCGTGCCAGGAGTGACTTGAGAAACTGCAAGTCGCTTCTGGTGTGAGAGAATTGGCCGTCTGCAAGGACGTCTGGATGATTTGATGTTTTTATCATCCTTGTGGGAGGCTTCTCTCATGTCCCCGTATGAGGAGCTGGAGCTGATAGAGGGAGCTCATCCACCTCTCCCTGGATTCGAACCTGCGACCTGTCGGTCTTCAGTCCTGCCAGCACAGGGGTTTAACCCACTGCACCACCGGGGGCTTCCCCCCAGGGGTGAGAACGGCGGTATATAAATACTGTAAACAAATAAATAAATAAATTTCAAAGTTGCAGAGCAAATGAAAGCAGCAAGTCCAGTGTTCAAGAGTCTAATAGCCAATGGTGCTCACTTGGTTTGCTAACTCTTTCTTAACCTAAACTGTATCAAGGAGTCCCCGGTGGCGCAGTGGGTTAAACCCCTGTTCCAGCAGGACTGAAGACTGACAGGTCGCAGGTTCGAATCTGGGGAGAGGCGGATGTGTGACGGTGTGTGTGGCGCCACCTATATGTAGAATTGTTAGTTGCAAAATTTAAACTGTTGTATTATGCCTGTCTACCTTGTATATGTATAGTTGAATTTCATTGGTTATTTACATCTGTCAATCTATGTTGTTGTACACCAATTGGCTTGCTTCCCCAGCTCATTTGTTTAGGCTCCGCCCCTTCCAAGGGAGAAAGAAAGGTATCTCTCTCTTGCCTTTTTTACCTCACAAAAAAGGCTCATTAGATGGACGTGTGTAAAGCTTGGCCCAAAGCCCCTGGTCAAGTCATTTCTTACCACCAATTCTTAGGTTTTTTACCCCTGAGACTTATGCTTTATGTTCAGACCAACCTGAACGACATTGGGAAGTCTCAGGCGCCTTCATACCATTTCCTTTGGCACCAGAGGAAGGCCTTGTCCTTCAAATATAGGCCATTGGGACTTGGGGTTGTGAGTGTTTTGACCTCATAGCCATTGAGAGAGAGGGAGATTGGAAGGCTTCTCAGCTAAAAACTCCTTGGGCACAAAGACAACCAAAGACTGTTATATATTAGGTTCTTGTAGGTTTTTTCGGGCTATAGGGCCATGTTCTAGAGGCATTTCTCCTGACGTTTCGCCTGCATCTATGGCAAGCATCCTCAGAGGTAGTGAGGTCTGTTGGAAATAGGAAAATGGGTTTATATATCTGTGGAATGACTGGGGTGGGGCAAAGAGCTCTCTGCTGAAGCTAGGTGTGAATGTTTCAGCTGACCACCTTCATTAGCATTTGAAGGCTTGGCTGAGCCTGGGAAAATGTTCTGTTGAGAGGTGTTAAGATGTGCCTGGTTGTTTCCTCTCTGCTGTTTTGCTGTAGTAATTTTAGAGTTTTTTAAAAGGAAGGAAGGCAAGAAGCAATCCCCTGGGAAATAGTTGCCACGTCCTTTTTCTTTTTTTACTAAGAAATATAGATTCCAAGGCAGTGACGACACAGGATGAGCTCCCTCTATCAGCTCCAGCTCCTTATGCGGGGACATGAGAGAAGCTTCCCACAAGGATGATAAAACATCAAATCATCCAGGCGTCCCCTGGGCAACGTCCTTGCAGACGGCCAATTCTCTCACACCAGAAGCGACTTGCAGTTTCTCAGGTCGCTTCTGACACGACATAAAAAAATCAAAGAATTCTTGTGAAGAAGGTCAGTACTTTCACATATGCTATTCTGAGGTCCCTTCCACACAGCCCTATATCCCAGAATATCAAGGCAGAAAATCCCACATTATCTGAATGTGGACTCAGATAACCCAGTTCAAAGCAGATATTGTAGGATTTTCTACCTTGATATTCTGGGATATAGGGCTGTGTGGAAGGGCCCTGAGCATGATGGGCAAGATAGGTGATGGTAGTGATGATGAACAACAACACTGGCAATGTTGGAAATGAGTAATAAAGCCTCACATGCCTTAGGTGAGAATATTGTAGGGTCAATAGAAGTGAGATTCTTAAATACAGCCCGTAGGATATCCTAGCAAACCTCTCTTAACTCCCAGCCCCATCCAATTTTTAAAACTATGGCCCAATTTTCAGACACTTTTTTGTCACCAAAAAGGCCAACAACCCCACTCCCCCCGCTTTAGCAAAACAAAAGCTTAGCAAAACCATAAAAAGTGAAAATGAGCCAAAATGCATCACATCAGTTCAAACATGGTGAAACTTGATGGAGTGGCATTCTGGATGGAGGCTGGAAAGTAAAATGTCTCTCAATTCCTGTGTATTTAATTATAACATCTTAAGTGATATTGTGGAAGCAAATGCATGAAGCTAAAGTACTTTTGGTATACCACAATTGGGCTGGACGGTAACCACAAAACAAAATTTGTTGGTTTAGACATGACAACACTATGGTGAGTGTTGAACAGAAAATGGAGAATAGGGAGAAGCAGAAGACAGAGGTAGAAACAGAAAGGAACAAATGTATAAAACTGCCGCTTATTCCCAAGCTTCCAAATAACAGTTTGGAAAGATGCTTTATTAGAATCAGACTTATTCTCAAAATTGATCTTCCATGCCTCTTGTTTGGAAGGAAAGTAATGGATTACTACCATCTATTGGGGGAATGTCAATCAGTAGGTACATTCAAATCCTAGAAAAGACAAGATCTTATCGCCATAAGATGCATTCACTGCATTATAATCCACAGAACAACTTGTCTTACTCATATGGAACATCAGTAAATAGTTTATTAAGACATTTAAGATGTATCGTGTTAAGCAGCAATAAAATTTAACCAGTTATTAAAGTAACACTTGAAAGACATGTGTCATCATGAGTCATAATGGAAGGATTTATCGTTCTAAATATAACAAATAAATTGTGCAACATAAATTTGCACACCCTTTTTGCAGATTAATTACTTCGACTTTCAGTATAAATCCTATGTACGTGTCATTATGTCACGCTAAACATTGTTTTGTTTTATTTTTCAGAGAAAATAATAAATTGTCATTTGTAGATGCTTTAAAAAAGTTTTCACTCTACACATTCTCAGATGCCTTTCAAATATAGAAGTAGCTGCTGACCTTGTACAGTGGTCTGCACGGGAACACAGCTGTCTGAGTGTCAGCGGCATTAAGATCACTTTTGACCAAAAGGTCATGAGTTCGAAGCCAGCCCGGGTCGGAGTGAGCTTCCGATCAATTGTGTAGCTTGTTGTCAACCTTTGCAACCAGAAATACAGTTGCATCTGTCAAGTAGGAAAATTAGGTACCACCTATGTGTGGGGAGGCAAATTTAACTGATTTACAAGGCCATAAAAAAGACTCCAGCAAAACACTCCATCAAAAGCATGCGGGGAATGCGGAAGTACTTTATCAGTGTTGCGGAATATAAATACTGTAAATAAAAAGAAAAAAAAAAGGACTCAGTCTCTAGCTTCCTGGGATGTCCCCAGAGAAAAGAAACACCAGGGTGTCTGGTTCTATATTTGAATGGCACATTATTTATTTATTTATTTACAGCTTCTCACCCCGCAGGGGACTCACGGCGGATTACACTGTACACATATATGGCAAACATTCAAGGCCAGTTTTGACCTACAACATATACAGACATAGACAGAGGCTATTTAACTTTTTCTGACCACCAGGGGAGCTGTCGCTTTCATCATCCATCTGCGACACTGATGAAGTACTTCCGCATTCCCTGCATGCTTCCCCGCTGGAGTGCTTTGCTGGAGTCTTCTTTATAGCCTCATAAATTAGTTAATTTAGCCTCTCCACACTTTAAGGTGGTACCTAATTTTCCTACTTGACAGATGCAACTGTCTTTCGGGTTGCAAAGGTCGACAATAGGCTACACAATTGGTTGGAAACCCATTCCAACCCGGGCTGGCTTCGAACTCATGACCTTTTGGTCAGAGTGATCGTAATGAAGCTGACACTCAGCCAGCTGCGCCACAATCCCGGTGCGCCACATTGCTCACAACATAAGCAATTAGGACTGGAAAATAAGAAAGTGAGCAATAAATGCTGAATCCATGAAATGTTCACCGTACCTCATTTATTTTAGAGTGTCTGATGTTCAACTTAGTCTGGATTCATTTTAATAGTTGTGTGTGTGCCCGTGTCTGCCTTCAAGTGTGTGCTGCAATGGTGATGAATTCTACAGCATTTTCTTAGCCAAGGAATACTCAAAGATGGTTTTGCTCTCCTCTGAAATATAGCCTACAGTGCTTGGTATTCACAGGACTAATCTTGCTTAACTTCTAAGAGCAGACAGGATTTGGTGCCTCTAGTCAGGCCGTATCCATCCCAATCTTTTCTTTTTACAACATTTTACAACATTTCTGTTTGAATAGTAACCTAAGTAGGTGGTGCTTGAAAAATCATTTTTAAGAAGAATGAATATAATGACAAACTATCCAAAGCAGAATAGTGGTAGGCTAGCTCACTTAGCAATGGCTTTACTGTGTCATTAGAGCAATCTTTCTGGGGGATAAAATATACTTTCCTAGCTTTGCCGGCCTTGGAACAATTGAAGGGGGTGAAAGGAATCACTTACTTGATATTGTCGAGGCACCCAGATTCAGGTTTCAATATGGCAGTATGATGAAACATTTTATAAAGAGCAATTCCAAGGAAGATTACATTAAGCTGAAATTGAAAACAGAAAGAAAAACACAGTAGTACATTACATGGAAAATTATGAAAGGAAGGAAGGGATTAAACCATGGCCTAGTTTTCTTTGAGCAACAAAAATGGGCATGGTGCATACAGTCCCATAATGCAGGTGGAAATTTGCATTTTTTTATTTGTTTATTTGTTTACTATGCTTGTATACCGCCCCTTTCAGCCCGGAGGCAATTCGAGACAGTTTACATTTGACAATCAATGCCCCACAAGATAAAATACAGTAAAAAACAATTACATATAGTATAAAACGTATAAAAACAATAACAATAAATAATTAAAATAATAAAATACAGTTCTTTTAATTATTACATTTGGCCCTGCCATAGGTTTTAATGCGTCGTGGTGTCTTGTTAATGTTTATTGCTTTGGGTTGTTGTAGGTTTTTCTGGGCTATATGGCCATGTTCTGGAGGCTATTTTTCTCCTGTCCCACCCTGGGCATTCCACAGATATATAAACCCTTTTTCCTACTTCCAACAGACCTCACTACCTCTGAGGATGCTTGCCATAGATGCAGGCGAAACGTCAGGAGAGAATGCCTCTAGAACATGGCCATATAGCCCGAAAAACCTACAACAACCCAGTGATTCCTGCCATGAAAGCCTTCGACAATATGTTTATTGCTTTGCTTTTATTGCTTTGTTTTTGAGTTCATTTATTGTTGTATTGTTGTTATTGTTGTTTACTGATTTATTTGGGCTCGGCCTCTTGTAAGCCGCACTGAGTCCTTCGGGAGATAATAGCAGGGTATAAATAAAGGTTTATTATTATTATTATTATTATTATTATTATTATTATTTAATTGTTGGCCTCGCTGGTTTAAAATCATTTTCCATCGCATCGTCCTGTCATTCCATGAGTCCCAATTAATCAGTTATACTGCAAATGCCTGCTCAAATAGCCAGGTCTTAACTCTCTTACGAAATGTCAGGAGGGAGGGGGCCGATCTAATGTCCCTAGGGAGGGCGTTCCATAGCCTGGGGGCCACGCTGAGAAAGCCCTGTTTCTCGTTCCCGCCAATCGGGTCTGCGAAGAAGGTGGGATCGAGAGCAGGGCCTCTCCAGACGATCTTAAACACCTAGATGGTTCATAGGAAGAGATGCGTTCAGACAGGTAAACTGGGCCAGAACCGTTTAGGGCAATTGAGTGTTCCAACGCATTAATACGTGAATGCACAGACACACAATTGAACCACATAGGCCATTCCAGAGAAAATGTTCCAGATTTACTGCTTTGACAAAGGAACTGGATTTTTGGAGGGGGATATGGAGAAGTGTAAGCCTATCCTGTAAGCCACCACTTCCACTCTTGACTAGAGTTAGTGCTTGCTTCTTTACCTGTCCATTTATTCCGTAACATTATTTCTATATCCCTTTTCTGCGCAGTTCAATTTGCTAGGTCCCCAAAGAGGTGTACAATAAAATCCAATAAACCCAGCCAACCATAGTTTTAAAAACAAAAGGTTGAGCAAACAATGTCATTTTTGCTAGTGGTGAAAATAGCTCTTACAGAAAAGGTACAAAAAGCACTCATTTCCACAGTGTTATAAAAAAAGACATTTTTCTAAGTCTCTGTGATATCTTATTTAATTCTTATTATTTAGGCATTGTAGTGACACTGGTGTGCTGAACTTTGAATATATCACTTTTACAGGCAGATTGACAGGATATACAGAGAAGCAATAGAAATGGAGGCAAGGAGAAAGAAAGAAAATCCACACTATCAGGACTAGACAAAACAGATAATACTATATTGTGTAAAAATCAAAATGCTCAGCAGAAAGTCTTCAGTTTCTTTGGCCCTGTGTTTTCAAGGATCCGCCTAAGAGACAGCGGAAGGGTAATTGGGCCTGGACTTTCAATATACCCAAAGCATTGTAAATACTACAGGGAATTTAATCCCAGGACGGATCTAGACAGCCCCTTTATTGCCGAAACCTCTGCAATAAAAAGGGGGCTGTCCAGACAACGTTCTGAGCAACCCAAAATTAATTTGCCACAAACCAGGAAAACCTTGGCTTGTGGCAAATTAATTTGATAGTGGGTTTATTCTGTGCCTTCTTGGAAGGCGTGGGATAAACCCACTACTTACATAATACTGCAATCCAGACAGTATTCCCATAGTTTTTTGGGCAAAATTAACCTAAGTGATCGTCCAGGGGAAAGGGGGGAGGATAAAAATTGCTCCTGTACCCCTTTCTCCTGGTGCATCAGTTATACGCAGATGTCATATGGAGGCAAGAGTTCTTTTGCTCTTTTACTGTATTTAGGGGGGCTTCTGGGGAGGGGGTTAAGTGTCCTGGTGTTGTACTGGGAAGTCCCAATACAACATCTGGACAGCATGCGCTTTCTGGGGTGGGTGTCCAGATGTTGTATTGCGACTTCCCAGTACAACACCGGTGTGGACAGGGCCTCAGGAACATTCATGTTTTTTAAACGCCGATCCATCTGGGCAGGGGCGGCTCAACCATTACGCAGAGTAAGCATTTGCGGGATACTTCGTTTTGCGGCGGTGGCGCTTCCTCCTCCAGAGGTGAAGGCAAGGTGCTGCCGCCCCAAGGAGGTGGAGGAGGCAGCGGGGAAAGAGGGGGCCGGTTAGGCCTTTGGAGGAGGTGGCGGCGAGGAGGAGGCCGCTGCCAAAGAGGGCCTCAGTGGCAGTGGCGGCTTCCCCCTCGCCCCTCTGCTGCTCCGTGCTTCTTCCTTGCCAGCCTGTCTAGGAAGGAGCTCAGAGCAGCCGGGGGGGTGGTGGCAAGGGGGAAGCCACCGCCACTGAGGCCCTCTTTGGCAGCAGCCCTTTCTGCGCCTCCCCTGCTGCTCCGTGTCTCAAAGGGTCCCTTCCTCGCCAGGCTGGGCTCACAAGCCTGGTGCCCAGCCTGGCGAGGAAGAAGCACAGAGCAGCAGAAGGGCCAGGGGGAAGCTGCTGCTGTCGAGGCCCTCTTTGGCAATGGCCTCATCCTCACGCCTCTGCTGCTCCGTGCCTCAAAGGGTCCCTTCCTTGTCAGGCTGGGCTACCAAGCCTGGTACCCAGCTTGGCGAGGAAGGAGCACGGAGCAGTGGAGCGGGAAGTTGCTGCCACCGAGGCTCTATTCGTGCCTCAAAGGAGAATATATATATATATATATATATATATATATATATATGGCATGGGCTAACTTCGGTCCTCCATGTGTTTTGGACTTCAACTCCCACAATTCCAAACAGCCAGTAGGAAGTCCAAAATACCTGGAGGGCCAATATTTACCCATGCCCCATATATATATATACATACATATATATAATATATATATATAATTTTTTAGTGATTGGTTGGGGGGGGGGGCGCCAAAATTCTGTTTGCTTACCCCTGAAAATTACCTGGAGCTGTCCCTGCGTCTGGGATAAAGCCCTGTCTGGAAAGTTTCAGCCTACACACTTAAAATCAGTGATGAAACCTGCTTGGTTAGTGACTTCTTATCACAATTGAGACAACCTCACAGGAACAACCCTTCAAGGGAGAAAAGGACCTTATCTAAGACACAACTTTTTCTCATAAGAGGCCTGAACGTGATGCAACCCAAGTATGACGGAAATGTATTGAGAAAGAGTTATCTGAATAATGTGGCTGCAGACACCAAGGAATGGGTTGTCCCCTGCACACTGGCTTCCATTACATAAAAGGCATTTCAGGTAGATGAGGTGGGAGGCGAGACCACTTCTTGTAGTTCATATTCAAAGCCACATAGAATTTCAATATCTTTCCAACAATATCCGACCCTTATCTTATTGCTGAATAGGTAAATCAGTTATTTTATCTTTCAAGTTACTTGACATTTCGTACCAATTTATTGATTTATTTTATTATACTTTATTTAAATTCTTAACCCATTATGTGTCTCAAAGTGGTGGAAATAGTTTGACTTTAAATGCGATAACTGTACATTCTCCTGCAAATAAGAAACACACCGTGAGCTAATGCAATGACTTGCTGACTCAGCCATTCAAACCCAGCTGGAGTAAAATGAGTCTGATGTCAACTTATATACCTCCTTGGGTTTCAAACATCAGTGGGATAAGAAAACTTATAAATATATCTGTCTCCTACACAGTGCTACTGTTCTAGTTACTGTATATACTCGAGTATAAGCCTAGTTTTTCATGCCTTTTTGTAGGCTGAAAAAGTCCTCCTTGGCTTATACTCGAGTCAAGGTTATTTATTATTTTACTCTGTTATTGTTATTATTATTATTATACATTTATTATTTTACTCTATTTATTATTATTATTATTATATTTATAATTTTACTCTTATTACATTTATTATTTTACTTTATTATTGTTATTATTACATTTATCAGTTTACTCTATTATTACTGTTATAATTATGTTTCCCTTATTTTACTCTATTATTATTATTTTTATATCATTTATGATTTTCCTCTCTTTATTATTATTATTATGAGTCGCCTTTGGGCTGATATGGATGGGATACAAATGTTGTAAATAAATAAAATAAATAATTGGAAGGATACTTAAACATATTTACATTGAAGAAGCTTAGAATAATGGTTTAATCAGAGTTGGGGAGTCTTATCTTAAATTTCAGTTTTATGTAAATATTCAAAAACATTTAACCTCCTGATGCCTCAATTAATGTAATTTTATTGGTATCTATTTTTATTTTGAAATTTACCCGTAGCTGCTGCATTTCCCACCCTTGGCTTATACTCGAGTCAATATGTTTTCCCAGTTTTTTGTGTAAAATTGGGTGCCTCGGCTTATATTCGGGTCGGCTTATACTCGAGTATATACGGTATTTGGAAAGCTGCTAAAAATCAGTGTTTTTCTTAACATAGAATTTTCTAAAATTGATACTAATCAGAATACTTTTGTTGAATAAGGAAATACTTATGGAAGATTACTTGATGGTATTTTAAGGTGGAAATGTAAACTCCACATGGTCCTCCAGTAAGAACAGTTTGTCAGAACCAGTCTTTTCATATTCATTCAAATTTTATTCAGGGTCTTAGCACTAAAGCATAAAGATTTTGAGAGACGGTCTTCCATGGGGAAAGATCCACCGATCTTTGCCCTGGCTGTTCCTAATGAAACAAAATCAACTATCAAAACTTACAACATTACCAACAGGTACCAGATGTTTCTGAATAGTAAAAACAAATTTAAAAGGCAATCCTTACCATAATTATCAAGGTTGCTGGTCCTATAAAGCTCCAGATGAAGTAAGTGTCAGGTCGAAGCCAACATCTGTTGTGGAAATGTGGGAAAAAACAACGTTCATAGTCAGGTTATGAGGCATATATAGACAATGAGAAACAGAGAGGAAAGGTAGCTGAAAAAAATCCATGAGGAGGCAAGGAAAAATAATAATAATATAATAATAATAATTCATGATTGCCATAGCAGCTAATATGGAATATAGCACTATAACAGAGTGGTCTCTGCATTGATGTTGAAGTCCCCCAGTACTATTAGCTGCTGGGAGTCCAACCCCAGGCCTGAGACCACTCCAGCTAGCTTTCACATCTTTTTACCAATTCAGTTACATGCCTGTGTTTTGCCATATTATTGATCTCCAGATTTACCTCAGGACAAAGCAGGAAAAATATAACAGATGTTACTTGCTAAGGATTCACTCCCCAATAGCTGCTCTTTGGATGTTTTGGTCTAAAAGTGATGATTCCTAGACAGGATAGTCAAAATGGAAGACACCAGACTAGGGAAGGCTACACTAAAATCTTTGGGCTCTCTCATGATTTTTTTTCACAAAAAGTCCCAGAACAGTCATTAAACTTCAAGATATTATTTGCAGCCTAGCCAGCCTGCAAGCTTTAATAGTAAAAAATGTTTTCCCTCCAGAAGACCTGAACAATTCAGTGAAAAGTGAAATAAGTGAGTTGATCTGACACTTAATTAGATTTGGGATTTTTTGTTTTGTTTTTATGAACATTTTTAGAGATGCTGCTGACCTTTAGGATCAAGTTAGCTGATTCATGAGCCAAACTAAATTATTAACCATTTAATTTTGTCTGTCTTCAATATCTCGTACTGCTTAATGATTCTTAGAAATTACATTTCCATTTTTCGTTGATGTAGTGACAAGATGAACATGAACAAGATAAATGTATACGAAGCTATCCATACGAAGCTATCATCTCTCCTTAATAGTTATGTAGAATAAAGACCTGAAATTTTGAAAACACTTTTATTTTTAAATCAAAATCAAAAAGATATTTTTCAAAATCCCAGGCTTTTGCAAAGAAGAAAACTAGGCTACGTAAAAGCCAAAATATAGAGTGAAAAAGACAGGTTGCTTACTTGTAATTCAGCGTTTCTCAAACTGGGGGTCGGGACCCCTGGGGGGGGGTCGCCAGGGGGCATCAGAGGGGTCACAGTATTTTCTGTTGGTCATGGGAGTTCTGTATGGGAAGTCTGGCCCAATTCCATCATTGGTGGGGTTCAGAATGCTCTTTGATTATAGGTGAACTATAAATCCCAGCAACTACAACTCCCAAATGCCAAGGTCTATTTTTCCCAAACCCCACCAGCTTTCACATTTGGGCATATTGAGTATTCTCACCAAATTTGGTCCAGATGCATCATTGTTTGAGTCCACAGTGCTCTCTGAATGGAGGTGAACTACAACTTCAAAATCAAAGTCAATGCCCATCAAATCCTTCCAGTATTTTCTGTTGGTCATGGGATTTCTGTGTGCCAAGTTTGGTTCAATTCCATCGTTGGGGAAGCTTAGAATGCTCTTGGATTGTAGGTGAACTATAAATCCTGGCAACTACAACTCCCAAATTACGCAAGCAATCCCCTCCCCAAATCCCATCAGTATTCTTAGTTGGGCGGGACTTCCGGTGGGGATAATAGCGGCGGGACAGCCTTACTGAGGAGCTCCTCAATAAGGAACCACGTTGAGAGACCAGGTTGAGCTATAGCTCCCCATTCCCGGCGGATTGAGTTTGGGAGTGTCGCGTAACCCAATTGCCGACACCGAAGGTCCCAAAAATCTCTCTCCTCTCAAGGGAGGGAGGTTAAGTGGACCCGGACAGGCACAGGGTAGTGGGTCTCTCCGTGGGAAGCGAGCCGAAGGCATACATCAACCGCTGACCTTCCCATTTTAAATACAAGAAAAAAAAAGAAAGAAAAAAACAAAGTAAGTTTCCCAACCAACTAATTCTGTGCTGGAGCATACAGATTGCCCCCCCTTATTTGAAAGAGGGGAGCTTCGATAAACTAAGACTTAACAGACTTAACAGATTACTCTATATTACTCTATATTCCCAATTGATTTTGAAGGAATTAATCCATCTTATATATACAATTTGAATGGACTGCATGAATTGAGTTATTGGGATTTACGGGATTGATGGGAGCAGAGGCAAGAGGAAAAATACAACCAGGTATCTATTCAATTGTTGAAGAATGAAAGTTTGAAAGAACTATTCCTATAAAATTAATTGAAACTAACTGAATTAGAGCACCTGGACTTGGTAAAAAGGCAAAACTTCCCCCCAGACCCGCTGTGGACAAGAATAAATAAATAATTCAATAAAAGGAGTGCTGACCTTGACACCACATTGTTTAATCTTCGGGAGCCTTCTTCATAAACAGCCAAACTCTCGGGGGTGGAGCTGGGAAACCCCACGAGAAGAGGGAAGAAAGGCGGAGCCGGAAAGAGGGCAGCGAGGGCAAACAAGGAAGGGCAGAAATCAAACGGAAATAGGTCATCGCGCGGGACGTAAGGGCAAAGCCTAAAGCGGGAAGGGCGGAAGTAACTCTCAAAAATAAAAAAATAATAGCGCCAAGGAACGGAACATAATTAGAGGGCAATTAGCGGAAAGAAATAGAGGACGAATAGAGGCCAACAGCATCGGTAGGTGGATAGACGAGCGTTGGGAGGCAAGAGGTTAGAAGAGGACAGAGGATAGAGGAGATCCCAAGAGTGGAGGGAGGAGTGAGAAGCAAAGATAGCTAAAGATTGAAGCTGAAGGAAATACATAAAATAAGTGAACTAATTCTAGATTAAATATAGGCCTAAGGGGCCTCTAGGGATCAATAATCCAAATAATTGCTGTTAAAAACCTAACTCAACCAATTCAATTTAACTAAATTAATTATTTCAATTTATTGATCTAAAAATTTTGATTCGGGAATACCTAATAAATTGATCTGAAATAATTGATTGAATTCCTAGAAATAAAAAGAGAACTGAAGGAAGAATATGGACAAATAAAAAAGGACATTAATTAGAGGTATGGAGATATTAAGGAAATAAAATCAGACAAAGAGAAAATAGAAGACAACCAAAATAAATTATTCAAAAAGATGAAAGAAATGGATAAGAAACAAGAGAAGTTTGAAAGACCTCAAGAAAGATTTCAACAGACAGAATATGATTACCAATTAAAGCTAAGAAATATACAGGAAGATATGAAAGAAAACCTTAGACAAATAGTCTTAAAAATATTAGCATCTTGTATAGAGTGCACGTAAGATGAAATGGATAAAGAGATAGACCAAACTTATAGGATTTTTACGAATTATGCAAAGATGAACAAGACACTAAGAAATGAGATAGTCAAATTTGCCAAAAAATGAATTAGAGATGAAGTTCTTCAAAAAAAAAATAGTAAAAAGCTAACTTCTTATAAAGGAAAAAAATTGTGTTCCTTAAAGAATTTCCCCAGTCAACACTGAATAGGAGGAAAAAATACTTCTTCCTTACAGAAGAATTGAAAAAGAGACAGATCCGCTTTCATTGGGAGAGGCAAGAGGGGCTTATGATGACCTATAAAGAAGAGAAATATTGGCTAACTACAGAAGAAAAAGTGAAAGCTTTCTATGATAAATTAATGAAAGACATGAGCTCTGGCCACAAAGACCCGTCCCCGAGAAAAAGTAACAAGAAAAAAAGAGCAAGACCAAACTCCCTAGAGAATGATGACGATGACACTTTGGCACAAGGAGGACCTGCCTTAAGCAATTTGGATGAGGACAATGACGACACGGGAACTGAAGAAGAAAAAAAATGTTAAGGATGTATGAACAAATAAAATGCTTCTCAAACAATATTAACGGTCTCAACTCTCCTCAAAAAAGAGTTTTTAATAAGTTGAAACAAGGTAATTATGATGTTATAGCACTCCAGGAGACTCATATTTCTCAGAGACATGTTGCCCACTTGTCCAATAATAAATTAGGGAAAGAATATTATTCATCATTTGATAAAAAGAAAAGGGGGTTGTAATTTATGTCAGAGAGTTTGGAATCCAATTTGGAATTCAAGGACTCCAAAGGACAAGCTATAGGAGTCAGTGTAAAGATGGGAGATCACAAAATTCTATTTTGTAATATATATGCCCCGAACAGACCAAAAACAAAATTCACCAAAAATTTGAAAGAGGCATTGACCAAAACAGAATATGATGATTGTATCTTAATGGGAGACTTCAACGGAGGGTTAAACACCTCATTGGATAAAAGCAATAAATCAAAGAGAAAGGTTAGTGAGGGTAGCAGTACATTACCTCAAAAACCTCCTAGATTTAAAATCGGAAATGGATTTAGAAGATGTATGGAGATCATTAAATGGAAATAAGCAAGACTATACTTTTTATTCAAATAGGTATAAAATCTGGACTAGGATAGACATGGAATAATAAAGTAATAAAAGGAATAATAACCAAAATCGATGCAATAACCATTTTACCCGGAGCCCTATCGGACCACTGTCCATTAGAAATAATAATCAATCAAAAGAGAATACATTGAAAGTGGAGATTAGATGAAAACTTGTTAAAAATCCAGAGGACATTAAAAGATATAAGGAAATCATACACGACTATATAAACACAAATGACACAAGTGAAATAAAACCACAAATAGTTTGGAATGCGTTCAAGGCAGTTCTGCAAGGCCACCTGATACAACACAGTGCACCGAAAAATAGACAAAGGAACAAAGAGTTAAAAGAATTTGAGGGAAAGATAGAGAAAAATGAAAAAGAACTAAAAAGCGATCCAACAAATTTAGTATTACTACGTCAACTGAAGGAATTAAATCAGAAAAAAACATCATTTAGAGTTAGAGCTACAAGCCAAACAGATGAAATTTCTCAAACAAGATACATTTTGAAAATGCCAATAAACGAGGTAGATGGCTAGCTAGACAAGTTCGTAAAAAGAGACAAGCGCAACAGATATTTAAAATTAGAGTGGGGGATAAGATACTTACAAGAA